GGTTGGTGAGAAAGACTTCGTAAAATGGCCCCATCGGAAACCGAAGATTGACTGGCGTGGAGAGAAGAGTTTGGGATTGTGTGAAGAACTCCTCGGCTTACTGTCCTGCAACCCCGATGACCCTGTGCTAAGTTTTCGTCTTTACCACTACCAGACCAAAAAGCTTTACCTTATGAAATAGCACAAAAAATATAGTAAACCAGGAGAAGAGTTGGCTCGCTACAACCCAAGTCAACTCTTGTAAGCACCTTTCCTTGAAATCCTAATGAGATATTCCATGATTTGGTTAGCTATCTCAAAGTTATTCGGCATGCCTACAGGCAGGTGAATTTTATTCATTAATCGGAAGTAGATTTGTTCGAAACGGTTTCCTTACACAAATATCTTAGCATACAATATAATCTTTACTCGTGTTTAGTTATGCTACTGTCGAATATGTGAATATAGCTTTCATATTATGAGAGGTGTGCTAACCTTACTCGAAGATAATCTAGCCTCTTGCCCAGCAGTTATTTCACTACTTTCGCTCTCATCTTAGGCCTATCCGACAACCAGTCCTATTCAATTTCTTATACTCGCTTATCCTATTCAGGATGGTCATTTTGTCTCTAATCTTAAGCTTCCATGTCAAATTCCCTTAGCCAGCAAAAGGTTGTATTTTGAACCAGTCTTTTGCGTGTCCTGCTCAGCTTCATGTGTTCATCAAGCTCCGATTTTGGGACCCAGAGACCTTTAATAGCGGTTTTGCGTCAACATAATCTCTTATGGATGTGTCGGCAGGCCCCCTCTACATAGAGATTCCCACATGAGTCGAAAACTTTCTGGCGACCTGAGCCAGAAAGGTCTGAAAATTCACGAATTTCCTGGTGCTTTCCCTATATCAGGCCAGTCTTTCTGTTACACTCCAGTCAATTGTGTGGCCGGTAAGTGATGTGTTCAGCTATCTCCGATCTTTGTGTATCCTTTTTCTGCATACTCGCTTATATTCTTTGATCGTTGTGATGATTCCCCTTCCCGTCTCCCCGGTGTATTTTTGTTTACAGTCCCTGCAGTTTATTCTGTAAACTCCATGTTGGCTAGACAAGCTAATGAAGAGGGTTGTCCTTTCCTTCGTGATTGTACAAATGTTCCATTTCCATAGTATCGGCCGCAGCTTTGGAGCCAATTCGCTGGAGAGTAGACATATGAATCGTTTTTCCTCCTACTCCTGATTTCCTTTCATAATCTCCATCCTTCCATCTGCTCACCGTGCGCAGGTTGCGTTGTACTGCTTCTAGACATCCGTTTCCGAGAAGCATCTGAGCTAGTTTCTCCAGTCCCTTTTCCCAAAACTCAGAATCAGTGAGTCCTAGACTTCTTATGGCCGTACTCAAGATCGAACTAATTACGGTGGTAAGATTGCCCGTCAACGCACTGATTACAGCAAACCAAAAACATTTTTAAGTCAATCTTATCATTTGACCTTTCTTAATTGTTGTAAACGTTATGACATCCCTCATAGTTTCGCAATTTGATTGGAACATATCATTCTGACAAGGTCAATGTCATATCATACCAAGTTTCTTTGGAAAAATTAGTGGAGATATGATAGGGAAAAGTAGAACTATTTAAGAAAAAAAAAGATGACACCATCTTGGTCTTCATACTTAGAACTATTTAAGTTTTTTGATATTAAATCTAGACTCAGGCATGCTTTAAGTCAGATTCTCACCCTGGAGGATTTCCTGAAACTACGGAAATAGACAAAATTTCGAAAAAAAATTGGACTTAATCAAAAAAGGCACCAAAAGGAACTGAATAAATATGGGATCTATATACAGCCCAATATCCAACCATCCGACAAAAATTAAGATGTCTCTAGTCTGATGGATATCATAGTCCAGACAAAAAATGAGGATAAAGTAGTGAATCTGTCTTTCGTCCCTTTTGGCCTTGAAACGATAGAGATCCTCAAGAAGACTAAATATTGCACTGAGGAATAAAGTGAAGACAATCAAAGAGACTTTAGTGGAAGCGATAAATATTTCTGAGACTATTTGAAGAATCAAAAGGAGG